CCAATCTCCTCTGACACACCAAGGCTTATCCTCCTCCACTCCATTTAAGAAAAATAAAAAATGAAGTAACAACAAACACTTTAGGGTTATTAAAGGGCATCACAAAATATCCAGAGGTTCTTGGATGCTATCCCTTGTCCCAAGTAAGCTAATAGGAGCCTTCCACTGAGCTTGGCAGGGCCAGGTTTCCATCCCCATCACAGAATGAACAAATAACACCTCAATGTACTTTACTGAACTGATAATTTCACTGTGAAAGCATCTCTAGCTTAAGAAGAGAAATTAAACCTTGAAAGGGTCTTATAAAAACCTTGTATGTTCATATACAAAAATATAAAAAGCCCCTGAGAAAAACAACTATAATTTCACCAAAAAAAAAAGCAATGTGTAAATAACAAAATAACATTTTTCCATGGAAAGCACCAATCAGACACTCACCATTGTACAAAAATTAAATGGGAAGACAGATGTCCTAACTCCAAACGTCACCCCCTTCCTCCTTCTTTCCCCCAGTTTTATTGCTGAGTGTAACACCATGTGGTGTGGAATAGCCCTTTGGTCTGTTTGGGTTAGTGATCCTGGTGGCGTTGTCTCCCAAATTCTTCTGCAGCCCCAGGCTGGTGGGGCAGTGTGAGAAGCAGAAAGAGCCTGGAGGCTGGGTAAGCACAGCCCAGCAACAACTAAAGCGTAGGTGTGTTATCAACATGGTTTTGGTCATAAATCCAAAACATACCACTGTATGGGCTGCTGTGAAGAAAATTAACTCCATCCAAGCCAAAGCCAACACAACAATTAAAATGAATCAAGAAAGAACGATGCGCTGGCTAAGTAAAATTGCAATAATTAAGTTATGCAATGCGTAAAGCAAAAATATGTAGTTTTTACTGAAATATTTTACCTATATTCTGCAACAAAGCATTACACATTTATTGAGAAACAAAAATAAAAATGGAACATTGTTTTTAGAACCTTGGGGTATGCAGCTTCCAGAAACTGCATGGATCCGAGACTAATTCTGAGCTTATGTAGCGCTGAGCACCTCTACTGAGTTTAAAATATATACGATAAAAAAAAGCATTACTGAAGTCCTAGTTTCTTCTACTCATTTCAATTCTCTATAGTCATAGATCCAAATTTTTAAAAATTTTGGAGGGTGAGGTAGGGACTAAATTTTGAGGTTTTACTCAAAATGTTTTGTGGTATCAAGTGATTGTTTTTAAAATTCTAAGAAATTCTACTTAATATGCAGTTGACTTACTTAGTACCATGGTATCAGAAAATGATGCACAATGGGAGTAAGATCCTTTGGGAATGCAACATGGGCGGGGGGAAGGGGGATGTAAGAATAGGGGTAACCACTTACTGGGAAACATAACCACTTCTAATAAAAAAAGATGAGGTTTTAAACATTCTTTTGGAAGGTCGGCAGCAGTGGCTGTATGCCAGTAACATTGAATGCTGCAGAAAGAAATTACATATTTTCCAGAAACATCAAGAGAAACAAGCATGCTGCTGAACACAGTTTGCAGAAATGGGCTCAATCTTGGAATAATGCATACAGCTATTATACGAGAGACTGGGATGATGTAGAGCAAGATGGAAAGATCATGGCTCCATTCACATCAAGTGGTGCAAATTGTACCAAAGGCGCACCAGAGCTGTAATAAGATAGAGTAACATCATTTTGAAACCAGAACAGCAGCAAAGATGTCCCAGGTTCTATTTGTTACAAGCTGCTGTTCTACTGAACAGTTAAAAATTTAAAGTTAAAAACAAAACAACAATTACTACTTTGTCCCATACCGTTTAAATCTTGTTCCCAGCAACTGGCAGTACTTTTATATAGGCAAACAGGTCGATTTGTTTTCAGTATCTCTGGTCATAAGCCTCCTTGTCCTCCCTTCCAGCAGTGGTCCAACAGAAATTCATATGTAATTTTGAAGATCTTGGCTTGAAAGATCACTTTTCTGAGTGTTTACAGAACTGCTTAAGGGAACACTTTGTTGAGATAATGAGCTGCATGTGGTTGCAACCTCCTTACCCATCTCTACAACAGCTAGAGAAATGCTCACCTTGCCTGTACCTTCAGCAATCAAAGACACCAGTAAATAAGATTGCCACTACAGACACCATAACAACCTTGTTAATGCTTTTCAAATATTGCACTCATCTTTTGCTACCAAATCCAGGTAAGGGTATGTACAGAGGAGAAATCAACTGACTTAAAGTTCATGCAACAGGCGCTTTGTTTTCACTCTAAGCTGCTAGTTTTGGCTTTTCAGCCTTTACAGTTACAAAACCTGTTCTTGCATTGAGAATGGCTCTACACAAGCGGTCCTCTTGGAAGTACTAGTTCACGTTATCAATGAGCAAAGAAAACATCACATACCAACAGAGTAAAACAGACTAACGTCATGTGTCTGGAGGGAAGCAACACAAAGCATCTACCTACACAGAACAAGTTCACGTTGCCAGGGAAGACTTTGTACTTGATACCAGTTGCCAATCTGTCCGTGTATTTAACATTATTAGTGATGTATATCTACCGTACAACTTTTTTAATTTATGCAGAATAACTCTTTAGCACCAGAGAGAAAGCAGAAATGAATTAACACTGAAAGCCAAGCCTGCAGAATAATGAATTATTCATTTAATACAGATACAGTTAGTAATGGCTTCAGCATATCAACATTTATGTGTTTAGAAAAACGCTAAAAATCCAGACTTCTGAAGTTCCAACATATACATAAGACACAACCCATAGCAAAACAAATAGTGGCACTGCCTGTTCTTGAATTCATATTTTTCTTAATTACTTAGGCTCATTACCACTCAACACTTACACTGCAATGAGCTATACAGAATATTTGAATATGAGAACTATGTGTGTATTTTCTGCAGTATTCAAGAAAGTTCAAGAAAGATGAAATTGCTTAAGAATCTCAGGGCTTTTTTGCACAACGATACTTTCTGACAGAGCTATACAGTAACATTACATAACTATATTTGTACCGGTGAACTCCCCATACAGACACAGATTTTGAGAACAAAATGATTTTTCTTCTTGCACACAAATCCCCGGTACCATTTTTGCAATTGCCTTAAAAGCCTAATGTCAACGAAGCTGATATGCTGAAGTGACTTAGTGCTCTAGTTAATAGGGAACAACATGGAGAGGTGGTCAACACTGTTGCATCCGTAGTTCTTGATACAGATTTACTACAAAGGACTCGTGCAGAGAACAAAAAGTCAGTTCCTTGCAACCAAGGAGTTAATTAATAAGAGTGGAAAGAGAAGCACATGGATGTTGGCATAAGGCAGACAGGACAACAAAAGATGTGGAGCTTGGGAAAGAAATAATCCATAAAACTGAACCAAAAGGCCACATTCTTATGCAAAACCAGATTTCCTGTTCCCATCCCACTTTTTTGCCCTCCTTTGACAGAACACCCTTGACAGATTGTCTGCCCTGACAATGGAAAGGTGAAAGCACAGTATAAGCAGTCACTCCTGCTTGTGCTATCCGCCAAAACGCCAAAAGCAGGCTGACCTTCATTCCCACTGCCAGAAACATAAGGTCAATATGAACGTCTAAAAAGGTTGTCCTGCGTATTCAGCAATGTTTTTTAAAGGCTGTGAAAGGGAAACTTTCCAAAGCTGGAAGAAGGAAAGAGAAAGGTCTTTCAGCAGCTGCAAGAACTACCTTATAAGCCTTTCAATTGCAGCAGGATGAGCTAATAAAGCTGGCCCTTAAACCCTGGAGGTTCAGTGTTCAAATTCTGCTTCAAGTTCACAAATGAAAGGAGTCTATTATACTTGCTTTAGTAGTCAGAGGAATCAAGGCACATCAGAAAGTGACTACACACTTTGACTAGCCTCATGAAAACGCAGCAGAGACGGGCAATGGAGCGTCTTTCAGTCTGTCAGCAGAACCTTGTCTAAAACTTGCCTCCTAGCATCTCTATGACCATGTCAGTGTTAATCCCGTTTTTGTAAGATGAATTTGTACAAGAAGCTTCCTGATCAATGATAAAGCCAAGTTTTTCAAGTATACCACCTGTCTCACTCAACTTACCAATATGAATATGCATCTAGTTATACACTTCATTTAAAGCATATGCTCTAGCTCTTAATTCTCTGAACAGCTTTTTTTTTATTATTATAGTAGTACAAAAGACTCTTCACCTCTTTTTCAGTGACAGGGAATAGGCACCTAGAACAGTATTTTCTCTACCTCCATTATCTCAATCAGCAAACTTTGTAAGTTGATTTGCACAACACCTTGGCTGACTTTTTAAAATTAATGTCCAAAACCACAAACTAGACTCAGCAAGAAAAAGTTCCCTGTGTAATTTCTTCATATATCTCTTCACAAAGAACAGCTCAAAGAGAGGGATTAATCATCTTCAGCAACAGAAAAATGGTATTTTTAGTTTAAATCTTAACTTCGCATTTTTCTGTTCGGATTATTTCATTACAAAATTAATTGAATCAGGGCCAACACACAGGTTTATCTCTGAAATAGTACATGAGCGCATGGACTGTGCCTTGAACGTTTTTGGCATTTCAGTATACAGAATGTATCTCAAACACATTGTTCTTTGAGATGCAAGTGGAAGGCAACTACCTGGCCACCACTATGCATCAATAACTACAAGCCAATGAACAGGAAGGAGCAAACCTCTCTGTCCATGGTCCTCAGTCCAGATGGAATGAGGTCCTAGAGTAAGTTAATTCTAATAAATCACTTCCACAAAAGCCTCTGCATGCCTCTTCCTCTCTAGAGAGAATTGGTGATACAGTCAAAAGGCACAAAATTTGTGATCACTCAGATCTAGGTGCAAAGTTTCCGCAATTAAGACAAAACCTCAGCAATTTCAGAGCAACAGTTAAATTTCAGCATGTCAGACAGTTCTCAATCTACTTCTTCATGACTCAACTTTCAAGCAGCAAACCCAAGCCAAGCCAAGGCTACTACTGTAGAAAAGCCAGGCTCTTACCTGATTTGCATGTCCTGCCATCATCTTCTAGCTGCACACCAGTGGGACAAGCACAGCTGTAGAAGGGGTCTCTGGGAGATAGCAGGCACAGATGGGAGCAACCACCATTGTTTTCTTCGCATGGAGTGTGAACTTCAAGAAACCAAGCAAACAATCAATAAATTTTATTTTCCTTTTTTTTCTAGAACCCCTAAAGCCATTCCAACCCTCCCTGAGGAAGAAATTATAGATCACAAATGACTGGCACAAGTTTAGTTTTTAAAGACAGAAGAGCCATAAAGTATTTGATTCCCCACCTCCCCAGCAACTTCTTTCTGAGGGTATCTAATTTGAGACTCATGCAAAGCCAATTTCACAAGAGCTGACAACTCTGCACATCCTCACTCTGCAGTTCTTTCAATGTTTCTCAGGCTCAGTACAACTAAGAACTACAGACACCAGTTCCTTTCCCTGCTGATACATTTAGGAAATACCTCTCTCTGCTGTAGAGCTTTTTCAGCAAGACATATCCCTGAATCACCAGGAAATGCATGAAGGGAACATGTCACGTCCCTTGCATATTTCATCAACATTAGGAAAAGTTCAAATACTGAAAAGATTACAAATAGTTATGTTACTCTTTTCTCTCGGCCTCCCATTTTGAAAATGTAAAATACATGTATATAAACAGATAAAAATAAGGAGGGTGGGGGGTAAGGATGGGAGTGCAACTGCACGCACCTATCTCATTTACCTGGAGCAAGTAACAACTGCAACAGATTAAACTGTAACAATAAACAAAGACAATATTGCCACATGAAAAAAAAAATCTTGCAAGCTGTGCAAGACCTCTCCAAAAATCAATCATAGTTTCAGTAAGCTTCTGAATGACTTTATTATAAAACTAAAAACAATTCAGCTAATTTTTTGTGGTATTTCCACCGACAGGCACTGAGAAAGAAGATGGAGAAGAATTTGAGCCAGATCTTAATGAAATCAACAGCATTTGAGCTATTTTTAGCAGATGCTGTTTCCCTGTGCATCATATTTTCTTGTGACTGACCCAGAAATACTGCGACCCAAGGCTGGGACATAACCTTAGCTAAAAGCAATGACAAGAATTCAGTATAGCTGAACTCTTATCTGGAGCAATGAGATAAACCAGGGTGCTGCTCATACCTGACAACCTCAATGAAAATTTGCACGTTCCATCACCAAGATGATCTCCAAACTCCTTTTGCTTACTTTCAAGCCTGTTTACTGACATCCTGTAAACTTTACTAGGAAAACAGATGCTATCTTCAGGGAAACTAACATCATAGTTGGCATAAACAAAGAAGCCAATCCAAACAGCAAGAGTATCTCCTGTAGGCAAGAGATGGTTCTTCCCACAGCTACTGAATTACATACATTTCCACTCGTTTTAAAATCACATTTCCACATTCCTACCCAGAAACCTAGACTGATCTCTACATGAAATCACCCACATACAAAATACACATAGGCTCTTTCAATACTCCATTCTCTACACCCAGCTTTCTTTGAAGGACCACACACAAAGGAAAAAAAAAAATAGGCATACATGTTTCTTATAAAAGCTCAGGACTAAATACCTTTCACACTGAAAACATTCATGAACTATTTGTTACATATTGAAGGTAAGCAAGATTAAGTCTGGATTTAAAAGTTACCCTTGTAAGTAAAAAATTAACACAACATTTTACAGTAGTTGTACTTATTATGATTGTTTAAAATGCCATGATATGCACTTTGTATTAAAAAAGTTGTGAGACAAGTCTTTATCACTCATTGCGCTATCCAAATCAAAAAGATGTCACTGAAGTACTGCCCTGGATTTTGGATTTTGTTACCAACTGGGATGATGAATGAGATTCTACCTACTTAGATTGGACTTTTCAAAGAGATGTAAAGGACTCGGGTACTTAAGTCTTTAGCAACCAATCTCCCCAAAAGTTTTCAGAACACTGAAACTTTCCACAGTGACCATTTTTATGATGTTATTCCTGACAAATAAATAAGTAATGCAAAAAGCTTCAGGGACAAGTGAAACATACAGTAGGGCTGCCGGTCAGGACTTAAGACCTGGATGTCCATTGGCGAATACAGGGCAGATAGTATTTCTCTCCTTTTCTCTCCCGTCCTTTTGTTGCAGGCATGAATGGAGCGCGTCTGCCAGTCCGTCCAATACAAAGTGTCCCCAGACAACGTCAGTGCAAACGGATGAGTAAGACTACCTTCAACCACCTTTTGCCTAGATAAAAGAAAGGGCAAGGATTAGCATGCATTGCTTTCTGTAGGTGCCATTTGGAAAAAAAAAAAAAATCTGGCTCTCTTAACTCTTATAAGAATTGTCATCTTTTAATAAAAACAGTGGAACAAAAGAATCATCTGGTGATAAAAACAATCACACTGAAATGTAGATTAAGTTTTTACAGTAACCTAGAGGAATTTAAGCCAAGCAGAAGCATAACCAGTACATTTATTTGCATATCTTTGCAAATTGTTTTACATATATCTTCCTCTACTGCACGTTAAATGCACTCATGATACAGATTTTTTCCTTTTTTTCTTCCAGTCTTTATAACTTGAAAATTAGTTTTCTTCACACATCAGCTTGAAAATGCTTTCAAACAAATCACTGTTAGCAGCAGCCACCATAGGACAAACTTAACAATTAACCTTGAAGGCTGCAAATTAAAGAAAAATAGTAGTTTTAGCAGCCACGAGTCACATCATATCAGTATGCCCACACAGTATGATGGCAAGCACCTCCCATATACATAGTTAGCTATGCAAAAATGCAGGAATGAAAATTTAGACTTTGCTCCTTCATAGCAATGAGGAAACAAATACACTTTGTTTCATAGCAACACGCTATCTAATCCAGCTGTACACTGACCTCTGAAAGGCCACACCAAAGTTCCTTACCAGGGCTGTGCAAACATCCAAATACAATTGCTGTTTGGAGGAAACACAGGTCTGGAGTGTGCTCCTCCAATTAAATCCTTAATTTTTATTTATTGGCCTCCATTTGAAAAATATTATTTCTTTACCCAGAATTTCCACATTTTGGATCATCAGCTGCACCCAGTTCTTTCTCATAGTAGGAAAATGAAAAAATTACCTAAGTGTCTCTGTAAGTTACCCTCTTAACTTGGCCAACAGCAGAAACAAAAGTTTTTCGGTATCCCTTTTGAAATGTAGAGCAGAGGCTTGCCCTAGAAAACAACCTAACAGCATCTGGAAAAATATCCTGCCTACTTCGGGAACCAGCTTCCGTTCCACTGCAGCAGCTCATGCCATCTCAGAGCCACATGAAATACCTAGCTCAGTAGCTCCCAAAGCCTAAAGAGCATCTTCTTTTCCCCCTAGAAGGTTCAAACCCAGTAAGAGATTTCTGCCAATGTATTACCTCTCTTCTTCCTTCCCCTCTCTCCTCTCAATTAAACACGTCCTGCCTGGATACCTTATTTCTCACCCAGTTTTTCTGGGGTCACCTCAAATACTAGACGCTTTGAGAGGTTTTTGATGTGTTATTTTTGAGTGTTCTCTCCCTTAAGGCAGTAAACTGTTTGCCTCCTGTCAGTTATACTTTGTCTAAGACTAAATATTTGTGATGAAAACAAATTGGAAACACTTCAGATGTTTTTCAGCACACCCTCCTCATTCAGCCACACTCCTTTGCTTCTATGGATGCATGCATTTTCACATTTTCACCAAACACATGACATTACCAACATGTTTTCTGAACTAACAAGATCCACAAGTTTATACATATCGCAATAAATTTTGGTAATTTAGATTCATCAGTCTCGGAGGCATTCACTCAGTGTAAAAACACTTGACAACAACTCAGTCAAAATAACACAAACTCGGTTTTCACAAATTTCATGCATTTTATGTGTGTACAAACAAAAAGGCATTCACATGCCTCCTAAACCAGTGCTCTGATGTAGCAAACCAGTATTCAAATTTATTCAGCATACAACTTGGAGAAACCTTAAGTCTCAGCATCATCCTGGAGGAAAGTAAGGAATACATTTTTCTTATATCTATATTCAGATTTGAATTGTTTCCGTAGATGAGATTAATGATAACAATAAAAACATCTAATGCTTGGGAAGGAAAGGATTGTTTCATTATTTTTTTTTATCAGCATTGCTACCATTTTTAGTTTCCTGAGAAGGGAATAAAAAGTAGCCCTAGAATTCTTCGTATGTATTCAGACACATCTTGAGCATAAAGGACAGATTTAAAACTGATTGGTATACGCAAACAAATATTCCCATTTACTTGTATAAAGCAGGCAGTGTGGAAAAACAATATTATTCTTCCTGTTCCAGATATAAAACTAAAACTGCTCTAACATTTCTGAACTTCAAATTATCACTTTTCTCACCAGGACATACTGCAGAACAAATAGAAATACTGATTTCACTTTCCATGTCCACTCTCACCTTTGCTGTTGCTTTCTCTTTTTTTTTTTTTTTTAAACTAGTAGCAGTAGTGACTGGACTTGTATTCTAGTATTGTAGCAGCTGTTTTCCACTATATAGTGTACCTATTTCCATCATTCTTAAATATCAAGTCCCCCCCTCTCCCGTAATTACATCCCTTGAAAAAGTTCCAGCTGACATGCTTGGAAACTGAATCTTGCTAATGCAACAGGCAGATTGATCCAGTAGCACTAATCTACCATGCAGAGGGTACATTTCCTTTTTATTTGAATTCTGAAGCAATTCTGGGATGGGAGGAGGAGGAGCATTTGAAACTTCACAGATTTCACTTCTTTGAGTGTTGAAAAAGAAAATTAAGATCAATGTTCAGTGGATTTATTAATAGGCATAACATTACAAGAAGTAAATTTTGTCATCGTTACAATCTAAAACATACACAGCTAAATGACATTTATGCTATTATACTAAATAATGCCTGAAGCCCACATGCAGTTAGAGACAAGTAATTTCACAGAATGCATCCTGCAGAGGAGCGTCCTGACATCCAGTGTGACATCAGCTCTCCAGCAGCTGATAGTAAAACATATAAGAGTGTGCATCAGTAAGCTAAACTTTTTTTTTTTTTTAATGCAAAATAGCACATACATTAACTTTTCCTAAAATACCTTTTCCTTTATGATACAATACCACATGGGAGGGGGAGGGAGTGTAGTGCACCAATTTATCACAAAATAATTTGGACTGATTGCTGGGATACACGTATTCAAAGGCTTGTTCTTTTTCAAGGTGGTCTCTCTCTACCTTAACATGAGCAAAATAAACTTGACCTACCAATTCCAACTCTTAAGTTTTCATACAAACTGAGAAGTAACGTTTATTAAATTTGCATGTGTAAGAGAACTGCAGAAATCCAAGACTGAGACAGGAAATCTTACACTCTGCCACCTACCCCCAAGCTAGAGAAACATATTTACATGCATTGTCTGAAAAACTTAGATTTAGAATTTTGAGACAGTATTTTCTTTCTATGAACCTGTATCAAGCCTTTGAGCTTCCACTCCACTTCTGTAAAGGCCTTTTCCCTTGTCTATACTTCTGACTGTCACTTAGTACTTGTCACTGACTACAATGCCACCATTATCTAGCTCTTACATAGTACTCTCAATAGAACTTAGAGCGTTTTATAAAGGATGTCAATATTGTTATGCCTCTTCTATGAGTGTGAAAATCAGGCACAGAATGCACCTCTGCAAAAAGAAATGAAAAACACCATGATAAAATGCAGTGTTATTTGGAGGGGGGAGGCATAAAAACAAAACTCCGAATTTTGATCAATACTAAATGATTTCATAACAAAGATATTTTATATGTTTTAAAATACAGAGTTTATGCACATTATATAAAGGTCACTGCTATTTCCAGTTTGCCTTAGGGTGCTGTTGACACATTGGGATAGCAACCTTCTGACTATGCACAATTTGGCAGAGCACTATACCATAACCCAACATCTCTCTCTATTTCCTCAAGGTAAGCTTCTTTAGAACGATTAACAAAATCTCAGCATCTGAAGTTGTGTTTCAGGATAAGACAACTCATGTACATTATTCTTACAGGGAAGTGATAATGTAGTGTCATAATTTGCTGCTTTTTAGAAGAATATCAGTGGAAGGATTTCTGCACTGTGAGCTTGCTATCCACGCAACCCAAGCACATACGCAAGTCTTCATGTGAAAATCTAAACTTAAGATCCAAAGAGTCAGGTAGGCTACATTTAAGAAGGTATAATTCTGAGTGCCTCAGCCAACCAAATAAAATGTAATTCTATTAATTAAACAGAAATCAATCACAGCATGGCATTTAGTATTCTACTGCCTATTCAACAGGTTGTTCCTTGAGACTACCTCAAGACCAAAGCTGGACCAAAAGGCAGAGAACTGCATCCTCAGCAGGACATTTCACGGGCAGATGGTAGCGGCCCTTCAGAGCCAATGCAACGTGCCCAATGAACACTGCACTGCGATTCAGGTACAAACTCAAGTGCCCAAACTCTGGCCTGTCTAAAGGGTCATCTCTGCCAAAAATCAACAGGGACCCTTGGACAGAAGACCACCAAACAAAACTTGTATACTGTGCTTTGTATCAAGCCTTAGGAAAAACACATTTGCTCACAACCTGAAATAAGCTGAATTTGGTTGCTTTATAGGCGTGTCACAAAGTACATCTTTGGACAGGGCCAAGGACAGGTGTCTCAACATATATTACCCCGTTGTAAAAAAAAATACAGTAAAATCCTTTAAAATCCCCATAAGCATTAGTTAAATGTTAGATTTCCTGGAGCCACGGAAAAGCATTTCCAATTATTCTAAAGATAAGTATGAGCCTTAAAAAAAGTGCTGTACAAGAAAGCTAGAAACTATCTGGAGTAAAATAATGATACAAATACTCTAAATTTTAAAGTCAGTTTTATGGCATGTGGGTGTTTTATTTTTGCAAGGCTATCAACAATTGAGGTTAAAATTAACAATAAGGCATTTACATTATTATAGATTACTGAAAAAAGTCTCAGTGCAAAACAAATGCAGCAGATGAGGAATAATTCACACCGTATTACAGACTAAAGGAAACTTACCTAAAGGAACCATCCAGATTCGCTCTGTGAATGAAACTTAATTTTGCATCAGCCCAGTAAAGTTTCTGCTCATCAAGATCAATTGTGAGTCCATTTGGCCAATAGATATCTGAATCAACAATTATTTTTCGTGTGCTGCTGTCCATTCCTGCCCGTTCTATTCTGGGTGTTTCCCCCCAGTCAGTCCAATACATGTATCTAAAAAAAAAAAAAAAAGGAGAAAATATATCACAATACATGTTTGTTAGCTTCAGCAACAGAAGGAATAGTGGCTTTTATAAAGTTCTGAAGTGTTTTGTTTTGATTTTGTTTGTTTTGTGTTGCACCTTAAAGTAGTGTACACACACAAACACATATCCCCAAAATACATTAGCACTTACCCATTCAAATCACCATTCCAGAGAGCACAAAAAGAAAGTCCTTCGTTAGAGCAGGTCTCAGAAGTATTGCCTCTGCTTAACGTATTACCATCATATTTCAATGTTGGGCACCACCTGATTGTCACGAGCATTTATAACCAATGTATGCTCAGTTATTACAAGTTGCATGGCCAATTATTACAACTTGATATCCTAAATCACATTCAGAAACAACCAATTACTACCCAAACAGGCAATTTCCAAAATGACCATCGCAGTACTTCCTTTGGAAAGTTGGTACACCGAGAAGACCAGAAAGCAACAAATTCCAGTGCCTGGGTGAGCTGAGACTGTGCAGTTCGGAGAGATGCTTTCTGACTGAGAGAGGACAGTCAGTTTCCAGCCAGCATTACCCAGAGACAGATATCCAAATTGCAAATTAGGCACACCAGGGGTCCAAACACAACACGGCTAACCCTACACATCGCTACCTCAGGCCGCTCAGAAAAACTGACTACGTTCCCAGTGCCAATACAGACATTTCTGGCATTGTCTGTGCCAGCAAACCTTCAACTTGAGTGAGCTCTCAAACAAAATAATTTAAGTGTCTGTGCACCAGGTTCTTTGTGCTATATCACCAGCAGCGCTGGACAGGTACCAGCTAGGTATTTGCATTAAATAAGCAACATTTAAGCTAAGTCCTGCTACCAGGAGTTCAGACAGAGAAAGAAATGACTCGTATCACTATCAATGTACATTTGAGCGTGGGAGGGTAAAACAGGCTATTTGCCAGCTGAACTAGTAACATTTCCATACAGATGAGGCCTCAGGCTTCTGATTCACAAGCTGAGAAGGCTTACCTCAGGATGGCTGCAGTGGATTCCCGTCCCCAGACGCCTTCCCAAAATGTCTCAGCTCCCCCAGCCAGGCCAGGCCAGCTGCTCCCGAAGAAGCAGAAGCAGGAGCTGAGCTGCCACAGCTCACAGACCAACATATGAATGTAAATTGCCACTCATTTTGGTTTTCCTTAACAGGTCAGGCTGTAATTTGTGGCAGTTCAAACTGTGTGGTGAGGCAGCTATTGACAAACAACTGAAGCCAGAGATGGGCAGACATGAAAGAAACCGTGCATACAACCAGCTGGTGAATCAGCCTGAGGGACTGATCCGGCCATTTTTCATAGAGTCATTTTTCAGTCAAATCAGTTCTCTGATTTGGCTCACACCATTTGGCTCACCCACTCAAAACCAAGTATTCAAAGCACACCTTGAGACCTCTCTACGGGAAGGAAAATGAACAAGGAGCAGGGAGACAGAGACGAGTCCCAATACAGCTGTCCCAACATGTTCTTGCTCCTAGAAAAAAAAAGGTTATCCAGAATTCCTGAATTGGAAATCCCACTTGAAATTTCAAACCACAAAACAGAATTTCCTCTCTCCTGCATCTTCCCTAGCTCACAGATTTGTAGCACCTCTGAATTCACTGCAAAGTGAAGAATCAGTTCAGAGCAGTCAAAAACCTGACTGCTGAATGAAGAAACCTCTGACTATCAAAAGCTGATGTTAGGCTATTTAATATGGTTATGATAATGCCACATTCATTTATATACTTAAATGCATAAACACAGACCAAAAAGTAGCTCAGACCTGAATCAGAAATCCCGCAATAGTTACTTAAAGAAAAACAAAAGAGACAAAACTACCTAAGTCCAATTAAATCTTAAAAGCAGGCTAGAATAAAAAGGATGAAAAATATCCTACCTACACAAAATATTACCCTGGAGCAAACTCCCTCTTCTCAATTCTCTTTTCTTAAATAAGGCTTGCAGCCTGCCCTGAAGCTCAACGCATTCAGATGAAAAGTCTGTAAGCCAAAGGGCCCTTGTGGCTTTTCTGCTTCATTAATGGAGCTCAAGCTCCAAAACCTCTCCTCCTCTGCCCCCTTAACCTGTTGCCCTATTTCATAGTTGATATGTGCTTTCCCATTGGGCACATACATGGCCACGCAGAGACTGCTGGATATAACCAGCACTTTCAAATTCACACATAATTTGCCACAGAAAAACTACATCCCTTCTTTTTAGCTCATCAGCAGGAACCAAGCTCAATCCTCAGCAATGCCGCTGCCATTCAAAGGTCTAAACCCAAAGTAACAGAACTGCAACATCATTTTGGGGGTTTCTTAACCACGTCAAGACTGGGCTGGGAGTTTAGACGTCATTATACGAACAGCTGAACTGTTCCTGCAGCAGGGAGGGGGAATCTCTGGTCTGCATGAGCCTGTTTAAAACCATGCCACTGCCAAACGAAGCAGTTCCTTCCTTCCCTGGTCCCCAGATCTGCTTCTGACATGAGGACCCTACAAGAAAGCATTCTCAGCTACCTTAGCAATTGGCAATCACTAGCTAGGGCAGCCCGCTTCATCCCCCTTCCACGCCATAGCATCCAGGCTGTTTTGACTTTTTTTGGTCAACACAAGGCACAACACAGCGTTTGGCACGAGACATTAATAAGGCCATAAAATGTCATGTTTTAAATGCATGCCTGTGGGGGATTTTCAAGAATGCAGTGTCAAACTTTCCTTTTTTTTTTTTTTTTTTTTTTTTCCACTCTGTTTTGCAAGAGTGACAAGGCTAGTTTGGACCAAATTAAACACAAACAGTATCCTGGCTGAGACAAGCTGCACTGAGATTCAGCTGAAGACAGACATTTTCTGGACAAGTTATAAATCCTGGAAAAAATCCACGATTATTGTGGAAAGAATGACACAAGCTTAGCTTGAGCAGCACTGCAAACTTTTTTTTTTCTTTTGGTTGGTTGGTTAAGTGTAAGTTGCACAGTTTTAAATATCTCTGGGTTAGGGCACACCATAACAACTGGGAGAAACTAAAAATATCAAAACCACTATCTTGTGTTTTAGCACAAATCCAGTAGATTGTGTTTATAGGGCTAACATTTGGTACCCCAGGAGTTTTGTATCCCACCTGGATTACAACAGGTAAATAAAAGCATAACAACAGTGAGGCTATGAAAGCAAAAGAAAACATGAATTCCTAAAGAGCTAATAAAAAGAGCCATTGTGAGCAAAACTCACTGCTTTGCAACTATCACAAATTGTTACTCTTAAAAAAGAAAAACCAAAGAGCACCAGAGAAGCAACCCTGGGACAAGTTCTCTGGTTCCTTTCTTCAGTTCTTTGGGGAATCTTAATTGTCATTTATTACTTCGCCTTTGCTGGGTATTAGGCTTTAACCCCAAACTTTCAAAAAAAGAAAAAAAAAAGTGCAGGGTTGTGGGGAAAGAAATTCACATCAGCCAGAATTTACCAGCCAGCACGTCACTGGATTTTGGCATATACTTGATTACCACACTGAATCAGGGCTTAAATGGTGCTTCAGTAATATCAGAAGACCGGGACTGAAAGCCACCTTGCAAAATAAACCGATTATAAAATTGGTGAACTGCACCCCAGTGGCCTTAATTTTGCCAGCTTAACTCATTTTAAAATTCCAGGTGCAGGAGCAAAAACAGGATGAGGACCTATTTCCCCTCGGCTGTAAAGCCGCAGGTCATTCCTTATTTCCTGCTGCTTCATCTCTGTTGTCATCGTTTTTGAAGAGATTAGAAATCACGGCTATGCCCTCAAAGAGCAGCCGATCAGCCATCCAAGCTGCAAGGTACCGTGGTCATAATAAAAAGAAGCCACACTGGCTGCACACTTTTTCCACCTCCCCAAATGCAATACGGTTGCCAAATCTTACATAACCTGCTTACACAAAACGGGCCAGTTGTACAGATGATGTAAATCAGCACAGACTTCTCCAATTTCAAAGTTCTCCAACTTATACAAGCCCAAGGCATAAAACAGGAGTTTACAGGAAATTGCCATGAAGTTTAGAATCCTGCACTTTCAAAACTTACTTCCCTCATCCAAATGCTTAAGCTCCAAAAACTTGACTGCTGCGTGAAATAGCACCAATCATCTACAGAAGGAAAAAGAATGGCTGTCTTGCATAGCAAGAAGTTGCAAGACGCTTACTCAAGTTGCCTCCTTTTTTCAACCTGGATGATCTTCATTAATATATTAATTTATATATATATTTATATATATAAATATATATAAATTCTGGAGCCCTGACCCAGAATGGCACCTTTTTCACAGATACTCAGCTACTGAGAACTGCTCAGGTTGGAAGGGACCTCTTGAGATCAGCTACTCCAATCCCACCACTCCAAGTGGAGTCAAGCAGGGCAGGGCAGCCAGGACCTCCTTCAGGTGGGTTCTGAGCACCTCCAAGGATGTAGGTTGTACAGCCCCTCTGTGCAACCTGTTCCAGTGTTTCACCACCCTCAAAATAGAAAAGATTTTTTTCTTTTGGAAGTGGAACTTTATTTTGTATTTGTGCTCATTACCTCTAGTTCTTTCACTGGATAGCACTGAGATAAGTTTGGCTCCATCTTCTTTACTCCCCTTCATCAAGGTATTTATACGCATTGGTAAGATCCCCCTGAGCCTTCTCTTTTCCAGGCTAAACAGTCTCAGCTCAACTGGCTTCTCCTTCTATGGCATATGCTCCAATCCTAAATCATCTTTGTGACCATAAGGAACACTGGATTACAGTGTGTCAGGACAGTCCAAGAAATGATACCTACACATCGTACTGACTTCATAGAGGGCAGGGATCCAACAAACACAGTGAACAACAGCAATTCAATCTTGCAAGGGAGATGTTGCTTGCTCTCTTACCCACAGATCTCACACAACCGCCCTTGAATGCTTGACTCAAGCCAATGGATTTGATCTATATCAGTATTTTGATGCAGGTTCACTCAAAATTTG